TCGAAAGGACAACGAGGAAAGTTGAAAAAGAAGCGTGGACTGCCTTTAAAGATGTTATTGACATATTTTTAGGAAACAAAAAGGACCCAAGTTACGAAAGTATTGTCAATATTATGCTCGATAAATCCAAAGAGTTGGGTTGTAATATGAGCTTGAAAGTTCTTATTTTACACTCACATATTGACTATTTCCCTGAAAATCTCGGTGCCATCAGCGAAGAACAAGGGGAAAGGCTTCATCAAGACATTAGGGAAATGAAGAGGAGGTATCAGTGAAGGTGGAACATCATTATGATGGCTGATTACTGCTGGTCGTTGAAACGAGATGCTCCAGACGCAATACATAAAAGAAAGACCAATATACGTAGTTTTGAGACTAAAAGACGTAGATTTCACACAAAAATCAGGATGAATAAGGATGCATATTCGTTTGACATCAATGTTCTTCCCTTTCCTTCTTTTTGTTTGTATTTTTATTAACAAACATAATAATAATGAAAAATGTTCATTGTGGTAAACGAAATAATAATTTGATCCAAGTAAGAGTTTTTCTTCCTCATTTATAAAGCATCCTTACGTGATAGAAAAATAATAATATTATTTTCGAAATCTACGTAGCTAAATTATGGAAAATCCATTATTAAAATGAAAACAACTTTTATGAAGTTTAAATTCGTAGGCCTGTGTTACTGGGTTAGTAAATGTGTTAGTCAATCAGTTACAGTGAGATAGTTTGATAGTAATTAAGTTCAGCGCTTTAAATTTGTGTTTCAACAAAGTAAAGACCTTTCGTGTAAATGGCTGTTTAGTTTTATTTTTAAGTTAGGCCTACCAACGAAAATAGAGCGAAGAAATCGTTATTGTTAAGTGGACTGAACTTTGCATTATTTTTAATGAATGATGAAAAAGAACCCTCCCAACGGCAGAAACAGTTTTCAAACGAAACTTTGTTCTTGGAAAATTCTAGAATGAATATTCATACATTATAAATTATACAAAATTAAGCTACAACACACCATTTTAGAAAGTTTAGATTAGTAAGTTAGATTACCAAGCTAATTAAGCCTTACGAAAAAAACGGCGTTAACAATCACCAAAACTGCAGACCAATAAAATTTAACCTATCTAACCAAGTGTAGTGTATTTTAAGTGCTTTGTCTGCTATAAACACATGAGGTTACTTCAATAACATGAGTGTGTTCACAAGTTTGCCCTTCGTTTGTTAAGGACATTAAAAGGGGGCGATGGGACAAATATGACGTGTGGTTTTCAATGACTTCATTACTATTTTTATTCACAATACGGAAGTAGGTGTGTGTGTGTGTTATTTCTTAAAGAAATGTGGTAAGTAAAAATAGGGACTTCAGCAATCAAAGAAGGGGAAACAGGATTCTGAAAGGATATATATGCGAATCAAACAAACAACTAAGAAGGTAATGTCAGAATTCACTAAGTATATTAAATACCAGAATAATGGATTGAATTATTTGTAAAAGTAAATTAATGACAAATTAAGAAACAGAGCTAAGAACTAACATAACAATATAGCACCAAATCACAAAAATATAGAACATTTACGAATAAAGATTAGAAATATATGGATAAAAGATAACAAATATCTTACATAAAAATTCAATACCAAAAAACCAAAAACAATTGTATTGAATAAAAATTAAAGTTAGATGTTAGTATGCAAAATATATATAAATATAAAGGAAAAAAAATTACTAGAGAGAAAATATTAAGAAGACAACAGATCATATTTCCGAAATTTTGGAAAATATTCAAAGTGATAATATTTTTTCCTACTGCTTTGGAGTTACCCCCATCCAATTTCTATTGAACAAAAGACCCATGTTATTGATTGAATGATCAAGTTTGTTGAAATGTTTGTGTTTATTGAAACATTCCTTATGAATTGTTTATCTAATGCTCTGAAGTTGTATTTCTGGACAATTTGAGATAAACTGTAGTGATTTTAAAGTTTTGCATGTTGCTGTTTAAAGAAGGTTTTTGTAGTTTTAATAAGATTTCTTGAAGACTGCAAGTTTAACGACTAGTTTATAAAGAGGTGTAACGGTGCAAGTTTAACGACTAGTTAGTTTATGCAGAGGTGCATATATATATATCTTTCAATTGCCTTTTAGTGTTGTTTTTTAAGAGATAGAGATTTCAGGATTTTTGTGACATTGTTATTAAGCTGGGATAAATGTTTGTCTTTTTGGCCCATAGTAGAGCTCTGTATTTCGGAGTTGGCGAGTTGGGTTTGAATCCTTGTGATATCACACAATATCCCCCTCCTCACTTTAATGTATGTGTGCATTATAAAAGAAGCAGTCCACCCCTTAATGCGAATAGTGGGTGATTATGACTGGTTGTCCTCCCTCTTGTCAGTAGTTTCAAACCAGGGACGGCGGCAGATAGCCTTAGTTTTACAATAAATAAGAAAATACAAAACTTTTTCTTTCTTCAGAATGCACTAGTGATTCTTGAGTGTTTAATATGTTCTTGTAAGAAGAATTATGTTGGATAATTTTGTATAATACTAATTACAAATTATTCTTCGTTGAGCGTTATTAGTTCTTTTAAACTGTTTATCAGTTTCAGAATTTTTATTACGCTAGGTAATAATATACACTCATTTTATACGATGCAGAGAACATAACCTACTCTCCTTACAGTGGCTTAATTAATTAATTATTTTGTTGTTGTTAGCCAGTGGTGGTTGCTGGTATTAAAACTATTAAGACGATAATTGGTTCTTGTGATCTCGTTTGGCTAATTAAGTAACTATTCATATAGTTTACACCTTCAGTCTACTGAAATTTCATTTTAAATCTAAACCATAGTAATATTGATTACGTATATTCTGAAGCAGTTAGTTATATAATTAAACATAAACTGCTAGAAATGTTAAAATTAACATAAATTAAAATATGGTAACTACCATTTGGATTTGTTTTCTTATTATTTGTAATAATTGCTAAGCCTAATAGTATTGTAAATATGCCGGTTAATCATGT